TAATTATTTAGTTGCTTTTGGTAGGTACGCTCGGGCTTCAAGGTAAACAAAACCCCAACCCCTCTTTTGGCGAGGGGTTATGATCATCATGGAAAAGCATTGAGCAATGAGGGGGAGGCGAAAGAAAGATGTTATCGGCGTCAATTCCGAAGGTTAAAAGTACTACCTTTAAAGTAATAGGTATGTGAAAATGGCATTGCAATCATACTATCCTGTTTAATGCGCGATAGATATCGTATATGTCCAATGGATTGTGTTTCCTTGCTCTGCTTTGCTTTCTTCCTTACTTGCATCGCATTACATTGGAGGATTCTTTACTCCGTACCATCATAAAGCATCTTCCCCGTCATTGTTGATAGACTCGCGTGTGTAATTGTCCAATCAAGGAGGGTATGAGATCTATTGCGGTACAGCTCTCTCACCAACCCTGTCCCTGCCTGCATGTCGCCATCTTTCGAACCAAGATTTCGTTCCCTGATCAGTAACAACAAGAGCAAGCTACCTAGACATGTATGAAATACGATGCGCCGGGCTTTTCAGCTGATCGATTTTGATTGATCCGCTTTGCGACGTACAAACACTACGGTAGATCAATATCTTGGTTTTTTCAAGGGAGACGCTTTGATAACATGAGAAGTGATAGATCATGGAAGGGAAGCTTTCATTGTCTTCTGGCCTTCTACGCGTTCTAGCGGAGATAAGTGAAGCGAAAAAGGCGAAAACAAGATGTAACGTAAAAAAAGTAAATAATACATATGAGAGCAAACAGGGACGGCTTAGATCATCTTCTAGGTTCTTCCACAATAGCGAGACATTTTCTGACAGCCCACTGCCCGCTTCTTCCTCCCAACATGGTATTCACTCCTACGATTTTCGTGACCGAGTTGCTTTCCGGCGCAATGCGCATCTTCATCATCATCATTATCATCTGTGAATAAAAGAAAATCCGGGCCTTGAAGATCTGTACGTACAGCACGCACCAGGGAGGGACTGGAAATGGTTCCTCACTTATCAGAAAAAGTTTCAAGGTCCCTAGGTAGTAGGTACAGACCCAAAAAAGCTCCCCTTGTATATTTTTTGCCGCCGAGCTAGGTCTACCCCTTCCCCGATCTCCCCCTCCCGGAATTAGACACTTGACAACTCACACCTACATACATCCATCATCCCTTGCTACCGGCAGCAAACTCCGCACGCCACGGAAATTTTTCAGAGCTCCATCGCAAGTGCACTTTGAACTGTGTTTCCTCTTCCTGTTTGACAGTGTGTGGATTCGATGTGGAGAGACTCCGATAGCCAGATTTGCTCCAGAGGCACAACATCCAAAAAAATCCCATTCCAGCTTTCGTGGAAACATTATCGCTATTCTCCATGCACGCACCGTACACGTGAGGTTATCCGCAGCTGCATATGCAACCCATATTCCCACAACTGCTTTGGTACGAAGCGTGCCTATAATTATCGGTACCGTATATTTTCTCGCGGTATCTAGATTTCAAGAACCATGGATCGTACGGAATGAGACATGGGCTTCGGCGACATACTATGTAGAGATTTACCTTGCATCTGGGATGACCAGGTAAACACATAAAATTTCTGATCTTTTCTTTCCTTGGTTCCTTTTTACATTTTACAGATTTTTGGAGTGATATCCGAATCCGAAATTTAGTTCTACATATACACAAGAGAGAGTGAGATCGCGATCTGGAGCGGCCGACGCGTTAGATTCGTGTCGTAGGAGATAAGGGAATATGGATATGCCATGCGCGACGAACTCGTCTTTCATTGAAGAATGAAACTACTCCTCATCTTATGGCGCTCTTATTCAAACCCGTCATCGTAGAACTATATACCTATGCATCTACGTTCCCATCCGAACATTTCAGATGAGACAATAATCAAGCATATCATATGAAAACAAATATCGCCGTTATGGATACAATTTAATACCGTGCCGTCGATCTGTACTGTACCCAAAGACCAAACCAAACGTATTGTGCTGGCGCAAACAAATCGCTGCATCCATCACCGCCTCTGCAATTTCCTATCTCCAAGGGATCTTTCTCTCTCTCCCTTTGAAATCCAACCAATACCTCAGATTACGCATGCAGTAGGAGAGTTCGTGCAGCTTCACGAAACCAATAAGGATTTGCGAATTGCGTCATATTATTCTAATAATAAGAGGGCGATATATGCATCTGCACCTACTAAGGTGCCTATCTCCTCTCCCTTGCATTCGAAGAATCATTAGCTTCCGCCCATTTATGGATTTCGAGAGATGATCATTGGTCGCGTGGCTCCATCCTCCAAAGAGAAAATATATTGCATTCTGGGGAAATGAAAATGGGAACATGTACAATGTACTCCACCGTTGTCATCGGAAAGGTCAATCATTTTAGGTAGAAGAGAAAATTAAAATTACCTTTCATCAACGTGTCAAACATTGAAGAGGGTCGAGACTCTGCCGGATGGCGAGAATAGATTATTTTACCGCCGAACCGTGGTAAGGTTAGAGAGTGTAAACGAATTAAATAAACGAGGGAGATCGAACGGGAGAACAAACGAAGGACAGAAAAGAAAGGGAAAAGGAAAGAAAGATCAAGACAATGAATGAAGGTTAGCTGCTCTAGATCGATTAGCAATAGTCAATTAGCAAAGGCTTGATGGATGTATATCGCTCGTTAAACTTCATGAATTGGACATTTTGTCTTTTCTCAAATCGATGATTATGCCTTTTTAAATCGCTTCGATGCATCGGAAAGAGATATATCTATCTACCTAGGTACATATACCTACCTGTGAACCTGATATCAGCTAAAGAGTAGTATTTCCCTCCTTACCTGAGGAATTCAAGATTTTGGAGAAGCCTCCTCAAACAACTCCACATCCAATCAAACCTAAAAATGATCCTTCACAAGAGGCACAGCAAATATCGGCCATGCCGGGAAGTTTAAACGGAAGTGGGTTCTTTGCCTTGGCAACCGGGCAAAGACAGACAGACAGCATAAGATACATACATACATACCTGTTATGTACCTATGTATTTTGTGCAATGTTGTGTCATCACATGATTGTTCTACCACGTGCGACTGCTTCGGAGGGAGGGCCTTTCGTCCGAGGTTTTGCAATGTTATGGTTGCTATGTTACTACCAGTTTGTATTTTTCGGATATTTTCATATTCTGTTCCCATGGATCATGGACTGTGAGATTGATGGGATGCACTGCATATAATGGAAATGGAAAATGGAAGTAAGGTTACAAGGTGATTTCTACAAGAACAAGGTATCTACCTAGTATATCTATACTTCACTCCCTTCAATTTGTTGCAGGGACTATCTTGAGAAAGATCTATAGGAACGCTATCCCATATCATGTTTTCTATCTTCAATTATCCTTTTTTTGTAATTCTTTGGCCCCAACTAGATAGACAGCAATCTAGTCATCAATATCTTTTCCTTTCCTCAAATCAAACCTATCTATCTACTTCAGCTCAGTCCTACGTCTCACAAGCCCCCAATCACGTCTTCCATTCTTCTCGTACCCGAATCCGGGAGTTCTGATATCCATCCCCTCTGCGGGCTCTTCGGGCAACACTCGTTACATATACCAGGTACATATGACTCTGCGGGCGTCCAAACCCTCAAGACGTCACCGATATGCAGCCAGAGAATCCTCTCGGAGGAATAACAAAGCACCAAATATAAATCTCGTGTTCTATACCCCCCATACTCTGTTCTCTCTCTCTCAGTCTAGTTCTCGCGCAAACATGGCATTTCAAACACCGCATACTCAATTCGCGTGGCTTGACTAGGCCGCTTGACGCGTATGTGGAATACGGTACTTAGATATGCCAAATCTCTTTTGTCATCTCTTCGGAAATTGTGTCTGTGGTGGGAAACTCGTCATTTCCATCTGTCTGTGAGGTCGCGGGCAGGAAGTTCCTTGTTGTGAAATTGCCGTTGTCTAAATTGTGATTACAAAGTTTATGGGGAGGCTGAAAGTTCGAGAATATTTTTGTGCACGGATGGGAGCGACCGGTAGCTGGTGCTTTTAGTAGTGGCTGTGTCTTGTTTTAATTTTTGGGGGGAAATTTTTCACCTCGCTTTGACGTGCTGCTAGAGAATTAAGACGGGGATGCTAACTACTGGCGGTTGTTTCAGTTGGACTTTGAATTTGTTGAGAGAGCATTTCTTGAGGCTCTGTGCAAGATGGCGGTGTAGATGGCGATCGAGATGTCGATAATTAAGGCATCAGATAATGAGATTGCCATGATATCATATCCATGGATTTCCCTTGCTTATTCAAAGTTGAATGGGTATTCACAGCCAATCTATGAGCTCATAGTGAAGAGTTATATCTAAAGCAGTGAACGAGGTTAGAAATGTTCGAAATGCAATTTGTTAAATCTTAAGGCATGCAGGACCGTTGTTTCTTGTTAAAAGTCAATCGAGTTTAGAAGATACACCTTGATATCGAGCATTTGGCGGTAGTAAGTCTGCCGGTCTCTAAGCATGTATGCATTGCGTTTCAAGTCCCAATAATATTCTGTTGTGACATTGTACCTATGTAACTGTGAGAAGTCTCATTCTATCATTGTAGTGCCCATCACTGCCAATTCCAAGAGACTACGTATCGCTATAGATTTCTTGCAAGCTGAAAATTGTTCAGTGATACTTCATATGTATTCCCATCTCCATCTGACATGATCCCGTTTTGTTTTTCTTACTATGAAGCGCTCAATACATTCGCTCGTCCTCCCCTAGTAGAAAACACGATTTACCTAGTCCTAGCTGCTTGCTCAATAATACTGGAACTAGTATATCCGGCTCCATCCCCGACCGTAGGGTGTTTAGCTCAGTTAGTCTTCGGAAAGTTCACGAGGCCCCGTACCATCATCTATGATACGAATAGAGCCCTCCTGATTCTCAAACAAGAAGCGAGTATTGCACATGTAAAGCGGACAGATGATGTGAATACCTGATTGTGAAAACCAATAAAGACCATGGTTGATAGTTTCACACTTGTATATGGATTCTCTTCTACCACATGTGTACTTGGAGCGAAGCTGTCAGTATTCCAATGTACTTATAGCTCAATCATAGAAGAACTCTAAGCAACAATAGCAAAACTCTCCATGCTTTCTCAAGCAATGCATAGATACATGGAACTACGCAGCAACTCCCAGCACAGTAATAAGCACAAACCAAATCCTCCTAGCAAACAGTATGGCACTTCCACTGCTACTGCCACATCCTCCTATCCCCCCATCCCCACATCACCCAGAAAATCCTCAGCCCGACGATTCCAAAAGTGACCAACGATGATCCTATCACTCGCTCTCTGCTAACTACTAAACACACACACGACCTATTCCTCCTCTCTCCCGACATAGCTTTCGACATCGATACTGAAGCTGAGTCTTTGTCTACAGGATATTGTAAACGAGATCCTTCACCCTCGTCCTATAACTTCCGAGTCCCCATCCCACAACCCCATCCCCTCCGGACAGCTTTCTCATCAGAGACATCAGCCTAGCCGCAGAATATCTCACCGTCGATCTATCCCAGCAAAAAACCTCCCGAAAAAAACATCATCACGCGCAACACCATCAATATCCATCTCTACCCTCCTAGCTCCGCGTTAAATTTCCACAGCTATCTCAAAAGTACATCAGATCAAAGACGAACTCAAAGCTATTTTGTGATGGAGAACACCACAGATATGTACGGGGCACAGTTTAGCATGTTGCAGAATGCGATGAATAATGATACTCGGTATGATGCCAATCTTGATGCGTCATTTTGTCTGGGGGATTGTTTGGGTCTGTAGGTATGGTGTTGAATATGTTCGGAAGATCGTTCGTGAGTAGCGATGCTATGGAGGGGGGTATGGGTTGTGGCTAAGGAGAGGGATATGGCAAGGAGCAAGTGGAGAGAGTGGGATGAATGATGTTAAGGAAGGAAACGCAATTGGATTGTTTTGAGGATGGAAAGTGTTCATTTTTAAAGCCGAGAAAAATATATACAATGAATAAATTATCTGACACGGGAGGTGTTCTCGAGTATCGATTTAACAGTGAACATCAATGACTCGAAGGATAAAGGCTCAACGGCTTCGAATATACAGACGTATATGACCTGTGCTTGTATATCTACTATTTCACCCCCAGTCTCTCTCTTCAAGATTATTGGCCCAATAAAAACATAATAATAAAGCTAAACAACAATGCCATACTTACTTGACCCCTTCATGGATGATACAGCTTTGTACGTGACAGCAATCTTTTGTCAACGTCAACAAAACTTATAGGCAGTTCCACATCGCACAAAGAATACATCTGGCTCTCGATACCAAGAGCTGCTAGGGTAGTTCGCACTAAGCTTCTCGATGCTTATACTACCTTCACTCGCATTCTTTAAGTGTTCCTCATAGCCGCTGTCAGTAATGAATCCGGCCGCTCTTCGATACAACAAACTTAAATGCCATTGAACAGTGAGCCACACTTCAATTCGCGAATTAGAAAATCAAAAACAATATCAGGGAACAATCGAATGATATTGTGCCACCTTCTCAGACAATGGGAGGTAAATCGAAATGCGCACCAAGTTCAGACTTAGAGGAAAGACTATTTCATCGAACATCAATTGGGCTACAGCGAAAGAAAGAAGCCTAAGAATGCTTTGCTTGCCAGATGTGAAGAGAGATCCTGAAGGGGTATGACAGTAAGTATTAAGGTGCCGCTGTGCCCCCAGATGGCTTAATCTACTATTCCAAACCCCTTTCCCGGAAATATGAAGGATCACTGCTTGGACTCTTTTGGAAACAGGCAATCTACAATTGCTGTCAGGAATAAAACCACTAGTTAAACCCCTTTACTACTCTCTGGATGCCAAACCAAAAGCATGGCGAACAATAAGTTATTACCTAAGCTTAAAAATTAGAAGCAGTTCTCGATAAGTCTTGTAATGTAGGTATACCGAGCAAAAGAAGGCGATCCAACTTGTCTTTGAAACGACGAGACTTCTCGAATGGCTGTAAGAGTGCGAACGAAAGGTAGGTGACTATTGCATGATCGACGAAAAGATATGATATCAGAGTATATCTAGATTTTTCTGGGTTGAAAGGTTTCCTTGTTATCTCAAGAATTCTCTGTTTCTAAACCTTTTAAAATTCTGAAAATGTTGATCTTAGGATGACGCAGTCGACACCATGTCTCCTCACTCCACCTAAAACTGTCAGCGGAAATAAATGCATGAGATTGATGTCATACCTCCTTGTGATTGGGGTTTCAATCTCATCATGTAACACTGAGATATTAGCGATGTTACGAAGCAAATCAATAGATTATAAATGTGCAGCCAGTGATGTCAGGAGAGAAGTAGACGCATTTGTACCTGCTCGCACTGCGACCAAATAAGTATCATTTTTCTATATTACGGATTCACTGCAACCAATCTGCTTCATTCGTGTGCAGTTTTCTTCCCCCTCTCCTCTTCCCTCATAAGCACACCGCCCTCTACTACTTAGATCACATCCATACCGTTCGTGCTCCCATACAACTAGTAATCTTTTCTATGCAAGATTTACTCAACCAATTTTCATCCACAAGGGCCACAACCAGCAAACAACTATGAAACCAATGCCAAATCGTAAGATGAAAACAATTATGCTAATTCCATACACAAGTTGCCCTTTCCCCCAATGAATCGAACACCTGCATCGCTATAAGAAAAAAGATAAAGTTGCAAAGCAACAGGAAACTATAAAAATTCGGCAGCCAAACACATTGTTTGAGAACGGCCTATTGAAATACGGCGGTCATTCATATTTTTGTCCACTAAATATTGCCCAGTGGATGTATGTTGCTGAAACCGAACTGAATATACTCCCTGGATGAAAAAACACAAATTGTAGGGTATGAAAACAAAGGAAATTATTTTTAAGAAGAGGTTTTCAGCGTAAGCCGATAACACTCATCTCCAACGTCCACACTCTTCGAATCCACACCTTTAATTTTCCCTCCACACCTTCTACGTTCTCCAGTTCGACACCTTCCCACCAACATCTTCTTGCAGGTTTTCTCCAAAAAAGCAGAAGCTTTTGTGCCATACCTACAGCATTACTACCCATCTCGTTGCCACGGATATCAGTTCGGAGGCGAGCTAATGCGAGACTGCATATAACAGCTTTGTTTGGTTCTCCTGCTCGGTGACCCCAATGATCGTCATGGTTGAAACCTCTGTTTCTGTATTAGTTGAAAGTCTATGGGCAATCTCATCAAAAATAAACATACCCAGCAGTCAACATCTCAATCAAATGTTGTTCCGTTGTACCTGTTTCTTCACTTCTTCTCAATCCAGAAAATATACCATCCTGTTTCAACAATGCCTTCCCGGCCGCTCTCTTCACTTCTATCATCTCCGATTGTTCGATATCAGGTCTAGGAGGAATTGCATAGAAGTCCAAGTCTTCTCTCAAAACAATTATCCCTGCTCTATCTTGTAACATCTCCCTGGCGGATCCTGCCATTGGCTCAATTGGTATAGCGTCGGCGTCTGGTCCCGGTGAGTTTGAACCCGATGGAATGGTTTGCGCCACGTTGCGAAAGAATTCAAGCATGTATTGTAAGGATGCAGGATCGTACTGAGAGAAAAGGTCAGCTATATGTATGTCTAAATTTGACAGTATATTGCGAATAAATAATGGAGTATCACGGACATCAACCTGGAAAGCATCTCCTTCGTGGTAGGTACTTAAATGGCCGTCCGGTAGTAAGCCATTGGGAAAGAGAGATAGGAGGACGAATTCAGGAAGTGTTAATAGTTCATCTCGAGACAAGGTAAACCGAGTGCCCCTAAATTACGAGATTAGTAGATGCGGACAATTGATTTCAATGTTCCATTTATAGCATACCGAAGGTCCATGGTGATGTTCTCATCTGCGCCGACATCTAGAGTACGTCAATAATTGATTCATCCAGCAATTGATGATAATCAAACCCTACCTCCAAGAGTGTTCATAGGTGCTGCACCTTGCTGCACCTGAGTAATAATACTCGCAGCTCCTCCGGCGGCCGCCATCAGATATGCGAATCCGTCGAGTGGACTTGAACCTTCTGAATATGCAGGTGGTGGCTCGTTTTCGTCGTCTTTCTTCGAGGATTCGCCTTTAGTGTCCTGCGGTAGTGCAGCTTTTGTTTCCGCCTCGACGTCTCTTGAGGAACTAGAAGCTTCGTGAAATTGTCGATTTTGATCGGACGCGACAGGTACGTATTCCGGAGCAGCAGGAGATGGAGATAGAGATGCGCCTGCTTCAGTGACGGCAACCTTGTAAGCCTCGACAGCTTCGGCAGTTGAAGTATAAAGAGAAGAAAAGGGTGGGGGTCGTGGTGAAGAAGGCGTAGAATGCGATGGCTCTGAATTAGGGTATCTAGGGGGTGGTGATTGAGTCCGATCTAGCTCTTCCTCCAACTTCAATTCGTGCTCTCCTTCTGTAATATTATCTAGCCCAACGGACGGACCGTCGATGGCTCCTTGCGTATTGGACAACGTGGTTGCTGAGATTTTCGGGGAACTATTTGAAAATGAGATTTGATACAAGGATTAAAATTTAATTGATTGAATTGCGGAAATTGTTGATTGGCATTGAAATGCGAACCAGAATGTCAGTTGTGGTGCGATATGTATTGAGTGTTGTGTATAATTGATTCTGATCAATTTAGGAGGGATTATATAAGCATCATGTTACTATAAAGAGTTTAGCGTAATCACAAAATATCAATGCATAACCAACTTAAGTGCTATGATTGGTAGCCGCTGAGCGCTTAGAGTTGTATCAAGAGAATCGTTTGTTATCTGTCAGATGAAAGCTTAAGATTGATTATGGAATCTATATGATAACCTTATAGATGTATAGATTCAAGCTAGGGGACATACATCTAAATATTCTTGTAAATACTTGTTATCTTTGAATAAAGAATCATATGTTTGGGGTTGACTTCTAGGTAGTCATGGTTGAATAGGCATGCTCAGATATACATCTCTCGATACATTTATATCTGAGACTCATATTTTAGGTGAGCACATCTAGATACACATATCTAGACACCTAGCTTCGATTGAACTGTACCCTTCACCTGTATCCAGTTGATTCTGATGTTATCCACGTAAAAGGTATTTTGGTAAAAGAACTTCAGCCTCTCCTTGGCTTACCAGCGGTATAAGCACTTGATGTTCCTCGTACTTTGTGTTGAGCCAGTTTCTATAGACCATCTAAACCAAATGAAATATGCTGATATCAACTTAAGCGTATAAGATTACAATGTCAAGACCAATATTCAAAGTATAATAAGGGCATTCGATAAAGCTCGGTCATCATGCGCAAAGCTCTTTCTCAGTTGACTTTGCGAAGATCATTTGTCAGAGTCGAATCATAAGTTTTCAGTTCAGTGTGCGCTGCCTTCACCTAATATGTCGTACTCTTGCAGGCTTAAAAATCAATCCATCTTGCCCAGAGGACCGGGCATGTGGGATGTCCAATCTGTTTCTTCTGCTACTAGCGAGCTTGACACGCAGGTCCAGGAGATCTTTGCATTAGTGATAGCTCAGTCAGCTTCATACCCCCCCCAGTCAGAGCAACGTTGATACATCAACAAGACCTAAATCATGATTGGTCCCAGGCCTCTTCTACTTCCTCAATAGATACTGACCAACCATCACCGAACGGTTAAAATGAATATAGCCTACCTTGTCGGATCAGATCTTGTGGATAAAAGTGACCTAAAGCGCCACAAACATGAAACCCATGGATTGGATACCTCCAAATATCTATATTCGAATTATACGCTCCATGCGCGAGGATTCCCATGAGCAGAACTTTGAATTGCCCACAGAAGATCCCCATCCTCCTTTCCCACCAAGCCTTCCTCCATCAAAGTTTCGAGCGAGTAGGAACCTCCAAAAAAAGTCTGACCAATACCTGGCCGCCTCAGAATGCTCGCAGATCTCAATACAGACCTATTTGTCTGGAATGGACTCGTATCCAGACATGACTAGCAAAGGTTTCCGATTTGAAGAAAACGCTTGAAAAGTGCGGTAAAAGCGAGTTCTATATGACAAGAGTAGTTTCAATTTAGGAATCTTACTAGAAATGCTAAATGACGATACCCTTTAATATGCTTCATATGTCTTTTTCCTGATTCAATAACTGCTTCTATCATACACGATCAATCGTTCCCCGATCGAAGCGAGGAGAGAAAGATACCTGCCTACCCATAAGCGAGTTGTTTTAGGCGAGAGATAGCAGATCAGTAAACGATCAATAGACATATCGATCAAATGATAGCCCTGAGGCGTGTCTCTTTTCAGCCGAGATTATGAGGAGACTTGCGATATCTAATGAAGCTGACTCAGTGTTGCATATCCGACTCATGCTATTGATTGTTGAGGTATGCGTTCATTGGCACTCGATGAGAATCACATGACTTCACTAGCGATCTCAGGGTTCATCTATAAGTCTTCCCGCCTGAAGCACCACAATATCACGGACTATGACGTTTGATACAGCAAACATCAAGTCAGCGTGAAGGCTTTGAATTACTCTTGAATTTGTCAGAACCGAGGATTTTGCATTTCGGGAGCACCAAAAACTGACAATATGACACATATTGGAAGAAAAAATATCCCACAATGGAATGGGATAGTCTAGATTAACACAGGATACATGAATTCAGGGAGCCAGAGATCCAACTTCATTCACAAAACAACACGAGAGGGACAAAGTAATAACTATTCACAAATCAAGAACAGAACTATATACAATCACGGCACTCATTACCGATAGCCCGTTTTCCAGAGAAGCCAGCACACAAATCGTGCGACCCCAAAAGCCCAAATCAAAAGTTCTTTAGTGGAGAAAGAAATGAGAACAGAATTGAACCAAAAAATAGAATAGTAAAGTAAAACAAATCGACGTAGAAATCCTAGAGAGTGTACGTATATTGCCTCACCAATTATCATCTCCTGTGCCAGAAAACCCCATATCAACTTTGCATGGATCAAAGTCCATCCGCTTCCCCCAAGATTCGAGGAATCATCATCGCGCTGCCCCTCCATAGCCCTCCACCACCCACGATCCACAAGCCCTGCGTCTCAAAATCCTTCATTTCCAGAAGGAAATTTAAATTCCGGAGTCATCTTGTGGGAAAGGCTCAGTAGGAGTCCAAGCATTCCAAGCTGCACATGTGTCTTGGAAAGTGGACACATCAGCTGTTCCAATTGTCGGTAGAATCTTACTCTCGCTCTCGACAAATTGTAAAGCCAGACCTTCAGATGCGTGCCATGCGATATGGCAGTGCATGAGCCAAGAGCCGGGGTTATCGATTTGGAAAGCAATGACAAGATGCCCGCCGCTGGGAAGTGTCATCACGTCACGACGGGGTGGGTTCACGAGATTTAGTGCTGTGGTAGCGGTGTAGGCTCCGGTACCTTGGGAGAGAGTCCAGAAGTCGTGACCGTGGAGATGGATAGGATGGTTAGGACTAGAAGTTAGATCGTTAGTATGGTTTGCGATAAAGGAATTAGTGGATAGTGGTAGAAAGCTTACCCATTGGGTCCTGAGATGGCGAGAACGGCCCATCCCTGATTCGCCGTAGTGGACTCAACAGGGATAACATTGTATTCTGTTGGCCAAATATTTCCGCTGTTCAAGACAGTGAGAAGAGTGGGGTCGGTCCAGTTAAGAAGTAAAGAACTTCCATTGAATAGCCATTGACCACCACCAGTGGTCAACGTTGTCTTCATGATAGAACTGGCAACTGGGTTGATTGGTACAAACGGAACAAGGCTTGTCAATGGTTCATCCAAACAACTCGTACTTGCCGTTACAGTGGAGGTAGTCGTTGGATCAGCGGTAGAGCTAGAACCAGTGTATCTAAGGATGCCAGTGATGTTGGCAGCGTTGGTGTTACCAGAACATGCTGTCTGCCATCCTGCTCTGATCCAGTAGTTTCCGACCGCAGCATTAGCTGTAACAATGATATCGTAACGTTGAGCAATGCTTACAAGGATACTGGTAGCGTTGTATGGAACAATTGGTACAAAGTCCATTGCTATGACTTGGAAGCTGTGACCATCAATAGAAAATTGGAAATGGCCGTCGACAGCTGTGTTGATCACTCTGATACGGTACTTTTTGCCTGGTGTAAAAGTTTTTTGGAACTTTTTACCAGCTCCATTGTATGTGTTGGTACCGTTCATAAGACCAGTCAAAAGTGTCGGTGGTGCTCCTGTCTTGGCTTTATCCCAGAATAATTGAACAGGTACGTGATTCCAGTCATTCAAGAACAACATACCAAGATCAACATCGTAGTTGGCGGTTGCAGGGCCGTTGATAACGAGTGGGCCAAAGAGTCCATCACCATATTGAAGAATAAAATGGGAATGATACCAGGAGCTACCATAATTGTCTGCGTGAAACTTGTATGTTAGAGTATCCCCAGGAGCAATTGGGCATTGCGTGATCCCTGTGGAGAGTGTTAGTTTGGGATATAGAATGGGACATGGTCAATTTTACCTGGAACTCCGTCGTACTGAGCGTTGTTCAACTGTCTGATACCATGCCAATGAATAGATGTTCCGTTGTTAGTGAGCTTATTCGTAACATGGACGATAACGTTATCACCCCAGTCTGCCGTGATTTGAGGTCCTGGGATAGTACCATTGAAGTTAAGAGTCGGGCGCGAAACTCCATCAGCACTGAGAGTTGAGTTCTGGACAACCAGCCAGTACTACACATTACAGTGAGCTTTGATGATTGTGAAAAAAGGTTCAGATTGCCATCTTACCTCTCTAGTTACACCTGTTTGTGGGACAGTAGTGTAAGAATTTGTAGATGCCGAATACTGTCCCCAACAACTCCTGGTTGTTGCAGTATTGGCACAGCTTTGCCGTTCTTCAAGAGCGGATGGGATAACTTCTGCTGTTGGCAATGCCAAAGCTAAAGAAAGTGAGGAAAATTTTGCCAATGAACTAAAGAATGAATTCTTCATGATGAATTTAATGGAGTTTCGACAAGACCCGGGAGAGGATAGAAAGAGCTGGTTGATTTGGAAACTGAAGACAACGCCATCATCCACACTCTTTAAATAGTCGACTAGATGCTACTTATCTGCTGAGATATCACCGATAACACAGCCAATATCCTTTTCTTTCCTTGTGAAGATGAATAGAGCCTCGGATACTGCGACGATATCCTCATCTTTCGTCTCCATATCTGCACTTCGAAGAGAGAAGGTCGTATCTCGCGAACGCACACAGAGTCGTTCACCCACTCCCACGCCAAGTATACCCTTTCCTGAGCTCCATTGAGCCAGAAGTGAATAGCATTCAGAAGGTGGTATTTTCAATAATGCAGTGAGAAGGCTTGGGGTGTGTATCGCGAAATATTGATTCATTTACACCTGATGAAAAACCCTTGATGTCGATAACAATGAAGCTACCCGACGCTTGCGATATCTTCCAAAATGGATATCAAAATGAGATTCTTCAAAGTAGTGGCGCTAATAGGCGTACAACTATGCGAGCTGCATATTTTCGCTAGTATGAAGTTCCATCTTAGGTCGCACTTCTCGGGGAATTTGGGCTGCAATACGTAAGGTAAGTTGTCGCTCATGTAAGCGCGGTTGGCTTAAGCTTTATTGATGAAAACCCGTTAATCCCACTTGTCATCAAGAGCTTTCAATATCGTCTCCTCAGAAAGCAAAACCTCAGAAAATTTCAGAGAACATCTCACCCAATTCTATAGTTTACTAACTTGAAGATCTTCACCGTAAACGCAATGTCTACGCAATATTTATGCAATGCTGTTTGGAGATATGCCAGCACGAGTGAACTTCCAAGATTCTCGAGAAGAGTTGTCGATAGCCATGTAGATGCAGAGCTTACTTCATGTCAGCGCAAGGGGTAACGAGAGGGGTTGCCGATATCACATGGAAAAACGCCATACATCTATTCCTGCGGCGCTACGAGCTGTGATTGCAACAATACCTTGTGAACCATTTCGGTTGGAACGATTAGATCTTTAAATGAATGCAAGAGCAAGCATCCACAGGGACCTGCTTCATGTGTGCCTATGCCGGCCAAACTTTGGCTGATTCGTGCGTTAATATGGTTTGAGCAGTGTGTATTGCACCGCGCTCAAAGCTTATTTCGCAAGAAGCGTAAACCTGTCACTTGAAGTAATTTCGGCTGGTTTGGCGATAGACTTCCTTCCCAATACTCATTAGCCAGGCGCCAAGAGACCTGATGGAAAGTTCACGATACAACTACAGAGTCAACTTGAACTTTTGTGATAGACTTCACGGACCCGTTCACCTATGCCAAGTATTAAAACCCTTCTCATGCTACAAGAAGTAAACTCTGCATCGGGCAGTTTGATGGTTCGGGGAATTGTAACGAAAATGCTGACGACGACTCTCCATCTGGTGGAGGGGTAAGATTGATAATGTGTATGTCACGTTCTCATCGATCCCCGTCAAATATGACAATACACATCGTTGTGATAAGGTGGGCAGAGCAATCTTGCTACTGGATCTCACGCGTGGGGCTTAATGCCAATATTTCCCCTGATATTCACCTTGAAAGCTGTTGAAAATATAAGCATCGTTTTCCCGGATGTGCGGAGAGAGGCGCTCCCTTTGACAGGAGGGAAACACGGGCTCTAAGAAAAGACCGTTGATGTAGGGCCGTTGGATATCCATCGACCAGCTAGTTCTTCATGCATCAATTTATTTGCCAATCAAACGCCATCATGAACTATTTCCTTTCCTCATGGCCAAGGTCCATGTATGTTGTGAGTCGAAACAAGGCCATTATTCTGAACATAGGAAACTCGCGGAAGTATGCTTCCTAGAATGTTGTGAGCATCTCTAATTCAGCATTCAAATAGCCTGGCAGGTTTGATCGAACTTACTACGATTTCAATCCATAGCTAGGATTATTCGGATCAGTCCCATATCAATGCAACCGCTACCTTCCATCCCGGGTATAGAATTCCTTGCAAAGTAACCTTGAATACGTACCCCATACACGTTTTTTAATATGATTATATTGCCGAAAAGATACACATATGTTCATAGGTTATCCACAATTTGAATAAGACTAGCGATGGAAAGATAGAAAATGCGACAGGTTTACAAGCATACCAATTTTCTTGGAGAGGTGATGGGGCTCATACTATCGTGAGAATAAGGACTAACAGATCACATAACCCATTTATTGAGAAGATGGATAGTTTCTGCGGCCGTGCGCAGAGAAAGTAAAGTTGTCACGACCCGTATTTCAGGGGTTACGATTGAGTCGCTTTTCATGCACGATGCAGATGTGCGGGGAGTAAGATATGATAGTGAAAAGTAAGGTTGACTTCTTTGGAGACAGGCACCATAAAGATGCGGAAAGGATCGAAAGGGAAAATTTAGAATCTGTGAACCGAATTCGGAGGGAATCTTCAGAGTCAGACGGCAGCGAGGAGCTGGCCTGCGAGATACCCATACATGCAGCCCAATTCTTGGTGATGAGTCTACAATATAACAAATGATGCTTCAAAGGACGTAGTGAATGCTGCATACTCGACAAGATAACGATATAACTGCAAATCCCCTTTATCCAAAATATGGAAGAATGGTGTGGCACTCGCCGAGTAACAGTGATGGGTATTACTTTGTGTACCCCAAGGACCCTTTGATGTGTCAAAATCTGCAAAAGTATGAGCATGCAGAATGCCAAGAGAATCATGATAAGGGCGGAGATTGACAGAGAAACTTCCTCCGGTCGCATCCCACACTATACCAGTATCTAAGAATATTTGGAGCTGTAGCTGGAGAGGTGGGAGGTCATTGATGGAATAATGTATTGAAATCCAAATTGAAGATAGCCAAAGACCGAAGTGGTTCTGAACAGGCAAAAGATGATCACTAGTATACACCCACGATAGCCATGCCATATAATAGTGATCAGAATGGCGAAGTATCAACGTAAGTGACAGATATAGGAAAAAGTGACAAACGAAAAGAAGCAAAGGGAGATTTGAAGAGAGAGAAAGAAGAAGCAGAAGATACATACGATAAGCATACGCACGATGTGTTTACTTTGGTAGTCAGTAAACACCTAATTGAGTATTTAGATACTCGCTACTCGTGTCCGTATTAGAGGTCTTTGGCGAGGTTACAGTGGGTGTGTGTTTGTCGAGCTCAAACATCTGCCAAGCAGCTGGTCAGACGCAAAACATTTCCATGCGCAAGAATTCATACCTGTATATGCTTGAGATGCTTTACGAAGTCAACTTTCCATATGATGGACGATCATCCGAGCATTTGAGGTATGTAAATATGGCTTTCTTCTGTGTATTTATTCATGTCGAGTCGATGTGCCACGGGGATACAACGGGGTTGAGCGTTTTCTCGGCAGCCCCTCATGGTCTGTAAATTCATCGTATCACAGCTAATTAGTGACATCGAGTTTACCTCATTCTATCGAATTTTTCTCGATGGAGACTTTCGCATCGCAAAGATTTCCATTCTTTACACCTTTAGGATGGGACTACAGGTTCTCTTGTAGTACGAGAAATCGAACCTACTCAATTTATCTCACTTGGCACGCTATTCTAATGATACTGTAACAGATGAGGCGATATCGCGGCGGAAAGATTAGCCCATTGATTCCTCGATAGTCTTACACCGGCTGTGCATCAATTTTGACGATCAATACCCTCGAAAGGCAAGTCGACTGATGATTATAACGGTTTTTATATCTTGTTATTGGTGTCATGTTTCGACAGAATTTTGGCATTGCCACAATTTAGACCAGATATATATGAAGCCGAACGAAGCTACCGAACTCATCACGAATACCATGATCAGCTTGTTAATCAAAGCATTTGAGCATGGTATTCTACGTGCAAATAATGCCACTTACAGCTTGTACGCCCGTCGCTAAAAAGTAGCGCTGGCAACGTCGTGATTCCAGGGGATTTCAACCAGATGAAGCATTCGAAGACCTACCTTACTCCATCGAGACCAGCTTACCAATCTCTTGTTGTCTTCTTAGATAATCTGGTGTGGCCTCTCGGCATTGTTCAAGCAACTACACAATCAGCAGACATCCGAACGTTGAATATCGAGCTACATAGAATAAGTGATTGCAATTATAGGGCTGTGATTTTAGGGCTTAAAAAAAGCAGATCTTACCATTCGAAGTCGAACGGAAAGTGTAAATCGTACCCTGGAACTATAGCAATTTACAGTGTCTAGAATATTCAAGGCGTCTAGTCTGCTCTGTCGCACAGCACAGCACTGTATTTTTCAATCTAAATAGAAGGCGGCTGTAAAACCCCCAGCATCTAGGAACACATTCCATGATTTCTTCGATTGAGCGACCATAGAAGATTGTATCTTTTTCCATTTAATTGGAGTTAATCTTACTTTGGCCCCATCTTTGGATATTACATCGTATGAGTATTTGCGCGAAGGATTGTTTACCGCCAGACATGACCCATTATCCCAATCTGAATCCCTTTTGAACATGAATTAAATTTCAATAACAGAGTGCAAAGAAATGAGTCTGGCAATGATGAGGAAATGGCAAGTGGGAGTCTATAGAGATGCGCTAAGTTGGTCACATTTTGGGCCATCAAGGGGGTTTCCTTCTTGTTCGCTAAGATCGTTCAAGTGTATTGCGATGAAGATATAAATCGGGCATTATTGCACAGATTTTATATGATGAATATCGACTCACACTCATTGGATTTTGATCTCTTCTTCTACTCACTTTGAGGTCATTGCTCGTCAGACTACCGTCACAAAAGCCTCGCTTCTGCATCAACAATCGCATAAACTTACTCCATCCTTCTCAAAATGAGATTCCAAACACAATGCCTCACAGTTCCCCCACTTCTTGTCCTTCCTACCAACGCTTGTCTTACGGTAGTTTCCGAATGGCTGATCGAAGGCTGGCAAGGTATCGTCATGAACAATTCCTGGCCTCGATGCTATAATCAATGGGTTCCCTCCGACGTCGTGCCTGATGCAACTACAGGGATGAATTTTACTCTCACAGGCTGTGATGATGGCTACAGCGCAAAAATATTTATCAAGACTGGACTGAATGCTCAATCTAAGCTGATTGAGTATAAGACACCTTATAAGACGTTTGGTCCTTATGATATGGGTGCAACTGAGGATCCATATACGGCCCAAACGATACAATACAAGTGGATGAGATCTTGGTGTTAGTGGCTTCCCTAAAGTGCATTTGCTATTTGGATCGAGTGTTTATATTCATGGTTTCCGCAATTCGGTCTTTTGTGTTGAGAAAGGGATAATTCGAATACTGCATTGAGGGTTATGATGGGCTGAACCTACATTCGGGAGCGATGAGAGTTGCATCTAGTCTGGAGATTGTGACTCGGAGTCAGGTTCTTGTTTATAGATTATTATTGAGTCTGTATTTGGTACATATATTCTTTCATGGAAACACAATTGGGCCCGTTGTTCCGTAAATTATGGAGACGGTTTTTTCAATTCTATCAATATCATTTTGCACATGAAACAATATCCACGCACAATTTTCCAGGCACAAGGATCCTAAAAACGTACTTTCCTCATCACTTTCATCACAAAGATTTCCTAGAGTTCAGAATAATACCTATCCTAGTCATTTTCAAGAAACAGGACTTCAATCCTCTTCTTTCCACCCGCACTTTCTGTGCTCAGTTGTGGATGAGACGAAACGGTCTCATCGAAATTCAAACCACCACTCGACCTGTTCATCATTCGCATGCTCTATCAAATCCCATGCTTTCGGCATTAGCATCTCTTTGGTCATTTGTTCATCCCCTAAAAGCTCATATCAAAATAACCTCGCCGATTAGCAGTCGCCCTTCCATTTTACCTTGACCCGTCTCTGCTCTTTACATTTTGCAATCAAACCCATAGACTCCTACACCCATAGTATCTTGTAGTCCGAACTATTAGAACGCCTCGATAAGAACTTCGATATTCAAAAGCGAAACAACACTCACTTTCGACATTGAGCGGCACCACGGAGGCACTGCTACCATACACTCCTCCATCGGGTCTTTATAAGAAAGGATAAAGGTACTAAGTATATAGAAAGCTAGAAGAGGGTTGAATTATGGATGTACTCGCATACATATCTTCACACACTCGGATGTTTCCCGGAGTTCAAAGTCTGTGGAAATGTATTACTTGCATCGTAGAGATGGCTATTAAAATGGCTTATTGGTGCGAGTGCCGCAGAGATCTTAGAAATAGAGATGGAGTGGGTGAGAAAAGGTAGTAGCATAGAAATGTAAATTTCAAGATCTTTGCCTTAAATATCAAGTCTCCATAGATTTTTGCTGTACACTGAACGACAGACAGCGTCTAATCCTTTGCGCCCAAAATCCTTGGACCATTATCGGATTATCAGACAGGGAAGCCCAAATTTCGAACATTGAGATAAGAGCAAGTTTTATAATCAATAAGATGTTTCAACATCCGTACATAATAAAGAATAGGAGTTTATCGTTTGCCGCCCCATCGCACCTATAAGCTTCTCGACCAATCCCACCATACAAGCTTCAAGGCTAACCCAGGGCTCGCATCAAAGTTACGCCTCTCAACTTTCGTCAATGTCATATACCTCGTTAAATATCTCATATCTCGTGCCTCACAGCCGTACCCTTAACCCATTTCATCCTCACTTACACAACATCCACAAAAACGACCTCAGTGAACCCTCCATCTCCCCAGATACCCACAACGCTCATCGCAAAGCCCAAACCGGCAACCACAGTCCTGACAACTTGGCTGGCCATGAATCCCTCCATCTCCTCTCTCACTTCTTCCCCATTGACATTATCATCCATTTCCTCCTCACTACTCGCCAACCCCGCACTTTCATAATCTCTAGCGCTCTTGCTCAATACCTCGTAACTTGCATCCATTTGTCTGGGACTCATGGGTTTCTTTGATCTTTTCCTCTGTGCAATGCGTCTTGGACCTGTGGAGCCTATGGCAAGTGGGATGAGTTTATCAACGATTGAGCTTGAGGCGGCGAAGAGCGAGGTCCAGAGGAGATATGGATGTCTTTGTCCTCGGGGTGAGAAATAAAAGGCGAGAAGGAAAGACCAGGATGAAATCCATGTGAGCGCACGAGTATGTGTTGTGGCGAGAGTAGTCAGGGAGCTGTAGGAGCGAGATGCAAGAGTGGCGGATGGGAGGGTTAGGAAGGCTGGGATCGTGAGAGATGAGAGGGTATAGGAAACGCCCTATTTTTTGATGATTATCAGCCCCTTGAATTCACAATAGATTGAGAGGATAGAAGCTGATAATAAACTAATAGAATAACAAGCTCCAAAGTCTGGAATGACAAGCTATAGTGGGGTGATGCAAGCAACTTACAGTAAGTAGGCCAAGGGAAATCGATCCCACAAACTTCAAAGTCGAAACAGTCTTTGTAGACATCTTGTCACCGATTAGTATCCTTCTCAGATATGCTCTTGCTGAAGGATTGTTCAATACGCAAAGGTAGTGTGATGGATATAAACTGGGATCTAAGTTGTTGATTTGGTCAGGTATATTTAATCCAAACTAAGGGAAATCCGCCGTCATTCTCTTTAATGGATCAATGGATCGATTATGATATTATGTAATCATATCTTGGCTCGCGGAACTTATCAATGAATAGCCGGACCGAGGCTTGAGACCCCGGATTTTGTAATCGGGTACCTAGGTAGTTTATGTCTTACTTTCCAAGGTTAGTTCAGTAATCCAAAGTGATTTGGTTTTCCCATTGATCCTAATAAGCTGTTGTATTTAGGAACTAATCGTAAAAACAACGTAGTATAAGTATCTATTCTATATTATCGATTCCGCCGCAAAATTGCAAACACCCCTTTGATCCTCAAGATATAAACGAACATGGCTCTACCTCGATCAGAGTATCTCTCCGACGTCTGGCGGAACGGTATTTTCGGTATGAACTTCTAACAGACAGCACAGTTTGCTTTATTTTCGCACGCTAATCGTGTTTTTTTTAGACAACAAAGTCGTCTTCTGTACTGGCGGAGCAGGTTCGATATGTTCCGCTCAAGTGCGTGCAATGGTTCACCTAGGTGCCAACGCGTGTATTATCGGACGCAATCCATCCAAGACTGAATCTATGGCCAAGTCCATTTCGACTGCGCGTTACGGATCGAAGGTCATTGGAATTGGCGGTGTGGATGTGAGAAACATAAAGAATTTGGAGAGTGCGGTAGAGACATGCGTGAGGGCATTAGGGGGCATTGACTTCGTTATGTACGATTGCTTTACCCATTCCCCTTCCTCAGTTGTATCAATGGCAATATCTAACATGACCACTCCAACAGCGCTGGAGCAGCAGGAAATTTCATTTCACCCCTAGAAGGTCTCTCCTCAAACGCTTTCCGAACTGTTCTTGAAATCGACACTCTCGGCTCCTTCAACACCCTCAAAGCGACTCTCCCACACCTCATAAAATCCGCCTCTGACCATCCAAACACAGCTTCTAATCCCAACACCGGAGGTCGCATAATTTTCATCTCTGCCGCGTTCCACTTCACAGGAATGCCACTTCAGGGGCACGCAGCAGCAGCAAAAGCAGGCGTCGACGCTATTTCTGCAACAGCCGCGTTGGAATACGGGCCACGGGGAATCACTAGTAATGTGATTACTCCAGGACCCATAGAAGGAACAGAGGGAATGGCACGGCTGGGCGATAAGGAGAGCGAAGCTAGCGGGGATGCGCAACGAAGAAACCCGTTGGGGAGATATGGCACAGTAAAGGAAATTGCAGACGGAACTGTGTACTTGTTCAGCGATGCGGGCAGCTTTGTCAATGGTGAAGTTTTGGTTATTGACGGAGGAAATTGTACGCTTTATTATTTCCTAATTTTTCATTTCCCCAACCCCTTCATTCACCTTCGCTAAGTTATTCTACTAACCGAGTCCAAATAGGGAGGCTCCCAGGAGGAATGGCTGGAGCAAAGAGATATCCCGATTATTTACTAGACGATTCATTCGTACGAAGAAAGGAGTCAAAGCTGTGATTACCGGGTTACAGTACACGCTGCACGCTGTGGTGGGCTGCTATATTGGGATTAAGACATGTAACGCGATAGACATTTTGTATTCTGGCGAATTTGGGTCTTTAATTGGCGATCCTCGTCTAACTACTGGGTTTCGATGTTTATTCTACCTTCCAAGGTTCTTCATGATCGTAACATCGTTGTGGCATCTCATCATCCATTTATGCATAGGTAGCTTCCTTGATCTTTTCCGCCACATCATAAATACCTAAGCACGCGGCCGCATCATTCCTTTTCCTTTCATTCACTGCCCAGGTGCGTCGTCATACGTAATCCCCGAGCCACATCCAAACTTTAGAGACGTCTTTACCGAATTTTATTCCCCACCATCACACGTGCCTACCATCGACGAGTGTTGATGAAGTGTGAATAAAAGACCTACCAATAAATCCCTCTCAGCATATTCCAACACCAAAGCGCAATTGGATCCTCAGCATCTTTCAAGTCTCGAATCCAATCCAACATTAGCCTCACAGTTTCATCAATCTCTGAATGGTATCGCTCCCCACACAGATTATCACAAATATCCTTCAGTATAATGTTGCCTTTCGAGAGATGTACGATGATCAAGATGCTAAGGAATATCTGAGACCAGGTGAAGAGGTAAGGTATTAGACGTTTACAACGGGATGGGGGTGAGAGGAGAATGGGCCACAGGAGACAGGACTAGTGGGTACTGTTAATAGGGACGAAGCAAAGATAAAGGTAACGGTAAAAGGGAAAGAAAGAAAGATGAAAGTAGAGATAACATACTCTTAGACATTCCGCAACATTTTGGGCATCCTCTGGCGTCACCAATTCCGGAGAATGTAATACTTTATACACAAAAGGTCGATAAACCATATATTTGGCATAATAGTATCTAGTTCTAAGTGTCGCAACTTGTATGTCATATGCATAAGGATACCTGACCGGTTCCTGGTCGATATCAGTGGAGAAGAGGTCCGGACGAGGACTTTGTTGTGATATTGGAGATGTGAAATTGGGATCGATATTCCCGATATCTCGTTCAGGCGTTTGCACATAAGGAAAACTTGCAGGTTCATCTTCTGCCCATTGGAGTGCGGTAGGGAGTAGGCCGCGCCATTGAGTTAGCTGGGATGCGAGTTGTCGTACTCCGGCTGCGGTTAGGAAGGTGTAACCTTCCGAGCAAGAGGAGTTGGCGTCCATCTTAGCCACTTAGATTGAGAAGTCAGTTTTGTCCAAAACAGTGAAAAAAGTTTGCGATTCGCATGCTTACTCTCGGAAATTCCATTCTGCATCTGGACGCAAATTCTTCGTAATGCTAGTACCGAAGAACTATGTGCTTGCCAATTGGATTCCTGGTCCCCTTTTAAATCGTCGTCACAAATTGGCATGGGGAAAAGTGGCATCTCAATGTGCATCTCGAGATTCATCATAGAGGTAAGTGGCAAATCTATGTCGAGGTGTAAAGTCCTATCATCTATCAATACAATGAAAGGAATTTGAAGTATGAAAGCACTCACGTCTCCATGGTGGCACAATGCCAATACGCACGTTTGATAAGGTCGCCTTTCGGAGATTTCCAGTCAAAGCTATCCCTATGATTTGGTCAGAAGGTGTTGAGAAGGAAAAGGAAGCATTGGTATGCTGACGATGTGATAAGCATATCACATGCTGATGAAGCAGAAACCATCGACCTCCAAAAGTCCTAATATTACATCAACTGCCACTCGTTCAGGTTCTTGGTTCCAATAATTACCAGATGGCGGTAACAGGATTGGTAATATAATCTACGTCAAGTATCAAATTAGTCGAGTTCCTCAACTCATATCAATTGAAATTGAAACGCACGCTGTAAGGCAAAACATCTGCACATTTTCAAGACTGCATTCTGTCAAGACACAACCAATTCTTTTCATCGCTTCATTAAAAAAGGATAGTCCTAGTGGCTTGGATGGCCCCGGCCCGCCTCTGATGCCACTAGGCCGTGATTGGTAGATATCGACAGGAGAGCCGCAGGATCCTTCAAGCGCTACTTCTCCAAGCGCGAATATTAGCAAGGCAACAACGGATTCCATATCTCCATCGAATCCTTCAGACACCACTTTCACTAATGTATCAGAAAGGAAAGTTTGTCTGTCCATGAAAGGGTATAGAAAGTTGAACGTATCGAAATAAGACACTGCCAGTTGAAGCATAGCTTCCTGGGACAAGCCCGGGAATGTTGTTCGCGAGCCCCCAACTACTCTACTCGCCAATGATTGCATGCCTACAAACGGTTTCTCTTGTAGATCTATATCTAAGGATAATGGAGGTCTTGAGGCCTGTATTCTAAGCATGAATACTGACCCCCTTTCCAGAAATTTGCCGTTGCCATTGTTTGATGGCGCAACTTGTAGAAGAAGTTGCTGTATAGCCGGCCATAGCAAAACCTTATGAGAAGCAGTATAGTGACGATATATAGAGTTTGTGTGTATTCGACCTGTGTTTATTTCGTTTGGGTGGGAGAACGAGGTTGCAAACGTATGTCCCTCGGGTTTAAAGCTAAGGGGGTCGTTCAATGATGAATGAGTAAGTGGCGTCTGACTTTGCTTGAACTCTGCGATGCCCGTCGAGAGTTGAGGAAATTGTTCGAGTATACTCTCTATATTTTTCACTCGATCCAGGATTTCAACCATGGTTTTGTCTTTCCTGTGACGCTCTTAGTAAGATCCATTACAGATGAGAAGACTAAAACATTTCAAGTCCCGTTCGCAGCATCGAATCGTCCTAAACATACATGCCTTGCAGCACTTACTTTGTCGGGACGGGCTCCCTATAGTTGCAGTCTATCTTCAAGCGTGTACAAAGACCGCACTTCGGACGGTTCTCGTCACATCTCTGCTTCCGTTGTCGACAAACATCACAAGCCTTGAGAAGTTGAATGTCAGTTCAATTTACCAGTATTATAACACAATGCTTTCACATATCACAGCATTGGAGGTTTCTTTGGAAAGGATGTATGGGAAAACTGGTGAAGGGAAACACTAGCCTGGCTCGCGATCGGTCCTCTGTCCTTCCGCACTGGAGCTGCTCCAAAAGTGGAACTAGATGCCGAGTCTTGGTTCATTGAAACTTGATTCCTTCGCCGTGGAGAGATTCCGTGAATACAACGGATTATATGATGTGTTCTTAATGGATGTTTTATCGTATCCCTTCAGCGTTGCGGCGCATTCGTTTCTGGTCGGCTCAGCGAGGATAGAGCATAGCAATGTAACTCCTATAAAACAATTTCTCCGGCTGCCTGTTATGGAATCGTTGTTGAATGACCACGTTATATTTGATGCTGATTATATTGGCGATATTGCTGCCACTGTTCTTATCAAAGGTGCCTGTTGGAACATTTAGAGACGCCGGGTACCTAGTACTCAGGGTTACTTTCTCGAAAGAATAGATTGACTCAAAGGATGAAATCACATGCGACAGTGATTTTTCTCCCTTAAAACAATGATAAACTTTGTTCTTGCTTTGTTAAAAGAAAAAAAATGTGATGGCATTCGGGATTTAGCGACGACCACTATGTATAAATTGCATCACAAAAACGGGTTGACCATTCGTCTAACTATCATATTTATTTAAAATTGCAAGGTTGCATAAGAGGGATCTGAATTCTGTGGAGATGCCTCCGACCAAAGCCTCCGATCAAATAACATGGGAGATTTGATCAAGACATCACCGGTGATGATGTCCGCCTCCGAAGGTGCCAATTCTTGAATCTAATCCAATGAACGAACATGATTCTCTTTTATGTAATATGGTAACAAAGGGTTTCCTTCTACTGGCTTCATTACATAAGCAATCATTCATTAGTAAGCTTATAAAGCGGGAATGGCGAAGTGCCAGGAGGCGAAGTTGGATACCTACCTAGTTCTTCTTGATCCAACACTTTCTTTTACCATCTTTGACTTCTTTGAGGACTTATTATCATCAATGATAAAGATATTTTGATGGAATTTATGACAACAAAAGCAAGACTAAATGAGTATCGGTGACATCACAATGTTATACATTTAGTTATACAGAACAACTTTCCAAGGTTGTTTTTAGGAGCACTACTTCTGCCCAGGTGGGGTGGTCGTACTAGACGTGCGAGGTATACGAGGTAGGCAGGTAGCTAATTAGGATATTCTGGATCGTATACAGAGTACAGAATCCAAATCTTCGTCACATATTAAAGGGAAAACAGTCTAGGGACAGAGCAAAATGGGAAGACACTTCCGATAGCTACCTACTCACATACATATCAGGTACGTTGCGCATGAAGCATATCTTTTTGTTGCCATATACAAATCTTAGCTAACTTAAGAGACAGACGACAATGCCATCAAATCAAGTCACGCCTTTGATGAACAGGAGATATCTCCGTCAGGCGATTCATCTCCACTAATTTTTGGTATCGCAAGAATTGTTCTGTTACACCAGCGTTCGTAATAACGAACGACAACAACAGGATCAGCAATGGAGGCGTACAACTCGACTAACACGACATTGAGATGATGCGCAAATTGTGGAATTGCGTATCGTATCGTATGGGATTTGTATATCATGTTCTATTTATTGGGTTGAGAAGTAGGGTAGACATTAGCCTAGAGGAATACCTCCGGCTCCTCTTTCAACCTATCAGTTTCTCGCTCGACAGCGAATCTCGATCGATTTCATCGACATTCGAGCAAATGACATTTTTGGGGGTGTACTAGCAGATTATTCGTCTTGATTTATGATGTTGTGACAAGTCGTCCGGAGCTCGCACCGCCAGTCTTATTCGGAGATACGCTACACGCGAGAGATCTGAAGTCATCCTGTACAATTACTATTCATAGTCCTCTTATGTCTTGCAAACTTTCTTGGTCTGTTGATCTCGGCCTGTAATAGCGCTGCCGGCCGATAACAAGAGTGTAACGTCGGTGCGGAATGGCCGAACACTCTAAGCCGATACATACTTGATACTTCTTAGGGTTGAAGTTCCTCTCACCAACTGCGATTCTCGAGGCATGGTTATTCAAGGAAATGACCTATCACTTTCATCTTGTCAAACCTCAGCGGGGGTGTTTTTTTTTTTTTTTTTTTTTTTTTTTTGAAAAAGTATTTTGCTTCGATATATATGTCTTCACAAATTTTGCTCAATTGTGACAACTGGCAACATCAGCTTGTCGAACACTAGCTCCTGAAATCCAGACATGTTTGAAACGATCTAACAGTATTCTTCGGCATCCACTATAAAGTGATCACTCAGGTAATTCAACTGCCGATTTAACATATCTCAACGAGGTGATGTATCGTCTTGGCGGCCGATCACATTACCTGGAATGAGTATCTTGGCAAGTTTTGCCAACGATGTTTAATTAACTGAACAGATACACGAAATCTTTGAAACTCTTTCCATCAAAGCCTCAGATCGCCGGTGCGAGTTGATCGTTCCAATGTCACTGAATACCACAACGGCGGGACCATCATTTCTTCCAGAAACCATGTGGAATGTCCTCGGAGCCCCATTATTGGACACCATTGTTTCTCCATTGAATGTACAAAGACTTGCAGTATCGCGTTCTCTTTCCTCGTAGAGTTCAGCATCGTAGGTGACGCGTCTTTGCTCGACCTCGTGGAAGCTGAATGGTGAAAATGACAATCTGGTTCATCCTGTAACGATCCTGGGAGAAGAATATATAAAGAGCCCCCATTGACTGCAATTTTCCCTTCCAATTCATTTAGTCTCTCGAAACATAGAACTTCCTAGCTTACAGCCCACAACTGTCATCACCAAGTCATTCCAGCCTCTCAAGATGTATTTCCAGCGATTCGTCATCGCAGCAGTCGTTCTCCCACTCGCTATTGCGGCCCCCGTCACTGTAAGTCTCAATTAGCTTGTTCACACTTTGCAAATACTGAGAATCACCCAAGAATACCGCGGCCGAGAACAAGAACTCCGAAGTCATTCAAAAGGATGACAAATATGATGCAAGTCTACACCCCTACGGTCGCTCATTCCTGTATACATAACTAGAAAGTCATTTCTAACACGATTGCAAATCTAGGGGATTGCATCCTCATCAGCCACCCTCCATGCACGACAAATCTTGTGGACAATTTTGGGCCCTTTGGGATTCGAGCCTGTTGTAGATGGGATCAATGGTGCACTAGTAGGACTCGGGCTCAAGTGAACGAAGGCGCGCGGAACTGTACTCTCGTTGATTGAGACGAGCTGAGGGACAGCGCCTGTCTTGATCGAGGGAAGAAGCAAGGATATCTTATCAGATGGCGGGTGGCCTGAAAAGCTCTGAGTTTTGGGTCATCGATATGAAAATGTTTGTTGTTTATTGATTTATCGATTTCGTTAGCAGTGATATGTTAATCATTGGTACTTTTGAATCTTGGAGTTATATGGGATGCTAATACACAGAACTGCTATTATTTGAGTGGAACAGAGCAGATATCATCGTTTCCTTTAATAGATTGTATAGGTTCAACCCAAGTCGAATGAACTCCGGACGCAATTGCTTGTGTATGGAAGATGTTTGCATGCTCAATCAGAATTCTCAATTTTGGCGCCTCATCTAATGTACTGCAGAGTGCAGAGACTGATATTTGGACATAGAATTGACAGCCAAACTTAGTATCTAATATGATGGAATATGAATATTAACAATGAATTGATGAATGAGTAATAACCTTATATAGATCTCGACCACACCAGTCTATTTGATTCTGACTTGGCGCAAATTATTCAAGCCCCCTCAATCAATATTTCAAGGCTGTATACTATTGCAGAATTATCAATAGAATGCTACATGGGCCTGGATTGGCTAGTAGGGAGCGAGACTGGAATGGCACATTCGAAAAAAATATGTACCTGGCTTAGTTTTTTGTCCTCGTCTGGGTCCAGATTGAAAATCAAGAATCAGTGCTGCCTCATCGATCTTGGAACTTCTGCTTCGAAACTGTTTCGACGTTTCTTGTAATATACCATGGTACTCGCAAGTCTCCACCGAATGTTTTTCCGTTGTCACTGACTGATCCCTCAAATCATATTATCTTCCTTCACAGATTTCATCATGTTTTCATCTGTGCTTTCATCTTCTCCTCTAATTCATCACTGTCCGAATGAGCTTTCAGCATTTCGTCTTCGATTTTCCTCAATACTTCCTCCAAGTTGCTATCATTCTCGACACCTTCCCTCGTTTCTACTTCAGCTTCTGCCGTCGTGTCTTTCTCAATATCGCTCACCGTATTGTCCAAATTATCATTTTCCTCAGAAGCTCTCATTAAATCTTCTTCGGCCTCTGTCAGCGAGGTGTTTGATCCTAATTCGTCTTCAATATTCCTCAATGGATCTTCTAATCTCTTAACCAGATTCAGAAGATGTTGATCCAGTCCCGTTCCCGCCAGGAGTGTAATACCAAACGGCAAGATTTCCGTGTCACTCATTTCAGCTCTATAAGTCCCGCAAGGAAGCGCTACAGCTACTAGGTCCAGAATATTGGCAAAATGAGCAAAGGCGCCAAGCTTTTCATTAATGCAAATGGGATCTTTCGACACTTCTTTAATGGTGGGGTGAAAAGGTGCAGTGGGAACTACCATGACGGTTAATTCGTGGGAATCATCATCTAGCGTGAGAATGTCTTCGACCATTCTTTTGTACTTTGCCTGCCTTTGCAGATCTTTGAATACATCAATGGCTGTGCTCTTACGTGCGAGTGCATTCTCGAAGACAGAGCGAATGACTGGGTGAAGCTTGTCTTTGTTCTTGTCGAACCAGCCATCGGGTAGTGTTGTAAGTCGTTCCAGAACGAACGTCCCGCCGTAAAGAAGCTCGTTGGCGGATGCGAAGGGCGTCCAGTCTATATCCACTCGCCGGCCGCCCAGCTCTTCCAGTACTGCAATTGCAAGTTTGAACTGCTTTTGAAAGACGGGGATACAAATTTCAAGCGCAGAGTCCGGTGGTGTACCAAACTTGAATGATGGCAAGGCATCCTTGGAATCTCTGGTATCTTCAGAATATACTCGTGATGAGATCTGGAATGTTGGAGGCTTGGCAAAACAGTCTTCTTTATCAAATCCTTGACAAACCCTCCAAACTTTTTCAATGACTTCTGAAGTGACACCCAGAAAAGAAACGCAATCTTGATGGAGACAAGCTGGCGCAACCCCCTGAGCTGAAACAGTTCCTTTGGTAGGTTTGAATCCAACAATATTGTTAAACATTGCGGGAATTCGAATCGAGCCTGCGGTATCACTGCCCAAAGAAAATGACACTAAGCCTTTGGCAACACTTATGGCACTACCGCTGCTCGATCCACCAACAACGTAATCTCGGCTAAGAACTGAGTGCAGCGTGCCAAATGGAGATCTGCAACCTGTCATGCCAGTAGCTAGTTGATCCATGTTTGTCTTTCCGATAAAAAGTGCACCGGCATCGATACATCGTCGATAGACTGATGATGAAGATTTAGGAGTGTGTGCCAGTGTTTGACATCCAATCGTGGTGGGAATCCCAGCAATGTCAAAGCTATCCTTGACACTGAAAGGTACACCCCACAGTGGTGGCCTATTGGATCTATCTGGCCAACGCCTGTACAGATCTCTGACTGAAGCCATAACATCTTCAATGGGCTGAAGGTGAATCCACAAAGATGGCTGTATATTTCGATATGCTTCGATGCGGTCATAAATAGCTTGCACTACAAGTTGAGGTCTGATGCCAGCTTCGTAATCAATCATTAGACTTTCAATATCGAGACTTGAGTCCCAGTAGTCCATTTCTTCTTCTCTAACAGCACATTCTCGAAATATTCGGACCATACATGATTCTTTGTGGATATAGGCAGGGGCTCGATTCCGGGGTAAGGACATTGAAAACTCATTCACAGGGATGAAGCCCAAATTCTGAAAGAAGGACAAAGTAGAAACGGGACTTTCCAAGTATACTGGAATTTTTTCTTTCTCCCCTCTCAACAGGCCCCAATTAGTCAATAAAGTTCCAGCTCCGCGTCTCCTATATTGAGGCAGAGTGATGACTGAGGTGAGACCTATCTTGCGCTGTCAGAACGAGTTGTGGATCAAATCTGAGACCAAAAATGAAACCTGAAAGATTTGATAAACAAATACCTCTGGATGGTTACTCGAACAACGAGTATAGTGGTGGTGGGATTACTAGTTTGAAAAAACCCGGGATAATCTTACGATAGCATTGGGCATCACCCATGACCTTCATCTTATTAGATTCCTGCTTAGCACTGTACTCTTTGATAAGGTCCCCGCGGGCATCCTTTGGAGGGAATATATGAGCAAGAGGACAAACGGCCCGTGAGATCTTCTCAGGCAGATCCCACTTGGCTATTGCAATGATTTTCTTCATGTCATCGGTGTCTCGCACTACCAGGTTGATTCTCTCAACGTTTCCTTCTTTCAAAGTTAGGAGGACATCCTGTTTAAGGCATTCACGTAAGCCTGCAAGGCTTTCTTCTGTTGGAAATAGAATACGTTGCAAAGGCGTTTGAGCGAAGGCGTTCAGATGCGTTTGTGCAAGTATATCTGCGTCTTCGGCAGCCGCTAAGTCTAGTTGAAACCCCATAATGAGCAACGTTAAAGGTGCGTGTTGACCAATGGATGCTGTTTGTTGACGGCCAGTAAAATGATGGCCTCACTAGAATCGCGATAGGGTATACTGTGCGTTGTAAGTTGTTGTCATATTTCGTGATGTTCATGAAGCAAGCGTCTTGTACCTTTCTACTCTTTCTCGCAACCGCACTTTCCTACGTTAATGACTTGCTATTATTCGATGAGAAAAGAATCCTTTCTCATCTGGTACCTTCCTGCGATGAGTGAACATAAGTGGCATGTACTTTCCATTCACGTGCTTTCGTTCCAATGTCAATAGATCTCTGCTACATGTGCCGATAAATACGTGCTCTCACTTCCACATGTTAAATCGTCTTCCGTTACGTAAGGTAACTGACTAGTAAATGCTACGCCCTCGCGCCCTTCTTCTCTTGATACCATATCAAACTCCACGCGCGTGGATAATATTCAAATGATGGAAATGCACAATGGTCGGAAGATTCTAGTCCTTTCTCCGTGGCTATCTACCTAGTACGTACCTACCTAGTACGGAGTAGCTAGTTTACCAGAAACCACAGGCGATAGATAGATCATGAGCTTTGATTGGGTGTTTCTGCCTATGTAGAGTAAACTGAGCTTCGCTGTCCTACACAAGCCACATACGCCACAGTGACGTACGCAATTACCCCTCTTGTTTTTGGCCATATTGATCTGCCCACTTTTCGCCCCTGTTTCCCATTCTATTGCATGCTACAAATACATTCAAAGAGCCACGATACAATTCAACAAAAAACCATCAACTTTTTCTACACTCAACGCAATTCAGTCAAATCTCTTTGCAACTAACAAACAACTCAATAATAAAACAAATTCACAAATTATCATCCATCCTCCTCATCATGTCTGCCAATACAGTACACGTCAAGAACATCTCCTCGCAAACCAGCGAGAAAGAAGTTAAAGACTTCTTCAGCTTCTGGTGAGCTTCAACCCCATTCCTTTACCTGCAAGACTTTAACATCAATTTAGTGGAAAGATTACCAGCCTTGAAGTTGGTTCCGTTGGAGAGACACAAAACGCCACCGTTCAGTTTGAGAAGGAAACCGCAGCTAAGACTGCTTTGTTACTCGACAACACTCAACTTGGATCTACCCAAGTTAAGGTTACAAGTGCATCTGGATCCAACGATGACGATGAAAGCCATTATACTTCCAATGAACAACGTGATAGCGACGATATCACCCAGGAGGAGAAGCCAAGAAGCCGCATCATTGCAGAATATCTCGCCCATGGTTACGTCATTGGAGATACCGCTGCTCAGCGTGCTATCGACCTGGACCAAAAGCATGGAGTATCCAACCGCTTCCTCGCCACCTTGAACAGTCTCGACAGCAAGTACCATGCCACCGAGAAGGCCAAGGGCGTCGATCAATCTTATGGTGTTACCCAAAAGGCCAACTCCCTCCTTTCTGGATTAACCTCTTATTACGAGAAGGCCGCCGGAACTCCAACTGGTCAAAAGCTTGTCAACTTCTACACACAAACCTCTCGTCAAGTTCAGGATATTCACGCCGAGGCCCGTCGTTTGGCAGATATCAAGAAGCAGGAAGCTCCACAAAAGGTTCCTGGTACCGAGAAGACAACTTGTAAGTGTGGTTCAGTTTCAGGAGAGTGTCCGTGTGCCCCTGGGTCCTGTGCATGCAGCGACTGTGGCAAGTCCGATGTCAAGAAGGTTCCAGGTTCTGATAAAACAACCTGCGGTTGCGCTGGTAACACCTCGAAATGTGGCTGTGCTCCTGGTCAGTGCAGCTGCAACTCCTGTCCAAAGGCCGAAACGGAGAAGGTTGCTGGTAGCGACAAGACGACGTGCAAGTGTGGTGGAGACAGTAAAGACTGTCCCTGCGCGGAAGGTCAATGTGCTTGCACTGGATGTTGCAAATAGATCAATTTTTTTTATGTTTGTTTCGTTGCTGGTCATGGAAATCAAATTGTATCATTAGTTACCTGCTAACTTAGCTTTCTCACTAGCTGATTCAGCAGCTATTGTGGACTCAACCAAGGTTGCACCTCTCGATTCTCAATCTGAGAAGTCAACCTTTGCTTGAGCGTTTTGGGTTTTTGATGTTTTTGATGAGAGTGGCAATTTTTTGGGATCGGTGTGAATGGAATGGTTACAGAAAACGGATATTGGGGATGAACTATCAGATTAAGTTGGACGGTTGTTTGCAAGCGATGCGTTGGGGGAATATGAAGGTTAATGATCAATTTGCGAATCAAATATCATAAGTCTCACAACAATTACGTGCCTTCCTGCTATGATGTTGTTTGTGACTGCAAAGGGCTCTGCTTACTTGGTAGTTTTTGTAAAAAGGAACGCTTGTGTCCACATAATTACTCAGAAAACCGTGACGTTGATGCATGGCAACATTTTGTTAACTTAGTTATGTACTAGTCTGTTGTTGAGATATGGACAGGTAGACCTGCATATAGGTCAACAAGACTGTTCGAAAACATTGAGCCCCTCTACTGTTCATTGAACTAATGGGTGGAAATTTATATCTTTTCAGATAGTCTGCATTTTATTTGGAAATATTGATACAAATCGCACTTTTCACGATGGAAGTAATAAGCCAGCAGCCAACATCACACCAGATTTATTTCATAACGAGTTTATTTCATTGTCTTATTTAACTCCTCCCATTTCATGACGGTATCATATCATCTCATATCGTATCAATACGTACACTTCCTTTAGAAGTGCAACTAATACACATGTTTCCATTCATTATCCCGAACACTCTCATATCAGTTCGCATTTAGTTCTCAGTCTTTGAGCGAGTCTCGTTTGAGTGATCCTCGAGAGGTCCCTTTGGGTTTGAGGAGAGGTTCTGTGAAAAGTGTGTTAGTATTGAATCTGGACTATTGTTTACTCCACGAGCAGGTATGAACTTTACGTACCTCAAGATCAGATTTGCTGTCTTGTTGGTTGTTGCCTCCTTGGTTGACTCCCTTGGCATCGGAGGGAGCACCTTTTTGAGCACCGGATTGGGTCTCAGGTGGTGGTGATTGACGTCCTTCAGGCATGATGGATGTGTGTATATGTGTTTAGATGATTCTAGGGATAATTAGTTTGATTGAAGAATGGATTTGAGATGTGTTGTTATATGAAACATGGAATAGGAGGTAGAGATTAGCTTGTACGAAGCGAGGGACCAACGACGATGTTAAGTTGATGCAGATGATTGAGTATGTGAGTGATCAAGTATAAACTTACATTGATGAAGAGGAATTGAGCTTGAGAGATGGATAGTAAAGTTGTGTATAGTTTTAGATATGAAGGTTAACAGAAACAAGCTTCTCCTTTTCTATATACCCCTCTAAGCTTCATACGTCATAGAGAAAGTTGCACCCCCACTTCATCCCTTCGCTGTGACATGAACTCGGGGCTTTTACTCTAGGCTTACATAAAATCATGTGATAATGCTAATCTTTGAGCATCAGCCACAAGTCATAAGCCACATGCCAAGACTACCTAGGTACCCCGACCTAGGTAGCCTCAAGCTTTCTAAATTATGCGTTATCAAACCGTTCTTCAGCAATAGTGCTACAGCCTTATGATTTCGTTACAGTTAGATTAACTGATTGATTTACAAACTTGTTCTAATCCTACTCCTATGTATAATATGGTCCCGCACTTTTGAAACCTAACAATACATAAACGTGTATTTGTCGTCGCGCGAAAGTCTATAATCCACTCCGTGCTCACTTCGGTGAAAGTGATGGCACCAGATCTAAACTCAGTACCTATATCTCCAAGACCTCAGGAGGTTATAGCATCTCCACGCCTTACATCTCGTACTTCTTCCCGACGCACTTCTCAAGTAATGGCTTCCCCAAATAATCTATCGACTTCTTCCTTAAATATTCTCCCTTCGAATCAAAGTGCTGTCACTGCAGCTTCACCTCCTTTGACGTCGCCTTCCAATAATATTCTCACATCTGCAACTGGCACGATTCCTTCAGGAGATAATACTGGTGTAGGAATGGGACCTGGACCGTTAAGACACCCAAGGCCTTTGACGGCTGCCGATTTACATCTGCAACTGGAGAAGGAACAAGAAGCTGTCGTATGTACACTCCGATAGTTTATCAAACGTCTAGTAATCTTTCAGACAATGAAAGCTTTGTATTCTGGCTATACATACTAATCCTTGTGATGCTATGATAGGTAAATCGATTAACCCGCGAACTGAGTATGCTTCGTGCTGCTCATAATGCCTCTGTCGTCTCAAATGCCTCGTCCACTTCCGCAGGTCATCCAGATGGGTTAGATAACTCGAACCATCTCCTATCCGGGCCTAATCACCCCATTCCTTCACACCGTCGCCATCACCGCACATCTTCCAGCACCTCCACTCGAAGCATTACTGCCACGGCAGGTAGTATCAGCACAGCCAGCGGAATCGCCGCCCCTGCCGCTCGACGCGTCGATTCACTACCTCAGGCTATCTCCCTCAGTCGCCAAAACTCCGCGACTGGTGTTCACAGATCCGGAGCCAGTAGTCCAGCACCATTGAGCGGTAGTTATGGACATGCGGATCAGTTCTCGCATTTCTATCACCAGCAACGACCTAGTATGCTACCACATCGTGATTATTCATCAGGTAATGTACCAACGATGGGTAGTACTGCGGGTGAAGTTGGCAGTGCGACAAGCGTGCCAACAACAGCAAGATATGAGGAGGCAGCACTTCAAAGACAGGAATTAGAGAATGTGAAGAGAGAGAATGAGGCGCTGAAGAAGAGGATTAGGGAGTTGGAGAGGACGATTAGGGATAGAAGACAGAGTGATGCAAGTTTGAACAGACCAAGAAGTGAGAGTGTTAGTACGTCGGCCAGTGTGAGCATTGGAAGAGGTAGGGATAGCTTAAGGAACAAGGATGTGGAGGAAGATGAGAGCGTTAGGGTTGGGGAGAGTGCTAGAAGTGGTGGCTTGAGATGAGTGGGATTGGGTTTGTTTTCTGTCAATCTGATATTTGGGAGTTCGTGGAGATTTTCATTTCTCATTGATTGCTACAAATTTTCGGCTTGGTTCGAAGGATAGGAGAAAAACATGGCGTATGAGTAGGTTTTCCTACATGGTCTGGTCTAATTTTCGTATTACAGGGAAATATGGGAAATCTCAGAATTCAGCCCAGGGATAAATTATTAAAATGCAATCAACTCTTTATTGAAACAGCTTTCATCTTTGTATGACCTTACTTGCTAAACTTCTCGCATATTCATTAACCCGCATGACTATCCGTGCTTTTAATCCTTCCGAAAGGTCTTCCGGCGTAGTGTTGGCTAGATTAGATTCAACGTCGCGCATAAAATATTCGGCCCCAACAATGAAACTAACAATCAACCCCAACGGATACCCTAACCACAATTTACATGAGTACAAGTCGCAGTGATAAAAGTAGCATGGTCGGAGGGAAGAAGGACGGCTGTGTATGGTATTTTAACTGCGAGACCGAGACGATCTCTGGGGCGGAGGCGAGCGAAGATGGAAGCGAACGTCTTCACTCGGATCTGTTAGAGAGACTGTTCGTTACAATGTGTACACCATACGAAAAATAACCTGTCCTCTTACATACCATGGCTTGACGCCGATCACGTCGAGACATGAGACCTACGAGCCTGTATTCGATTATCATTCCTAAGCTTCGAGAGTTGAATATGAAGTTCCAAGAGGGTCTGCAACGTTCAATGTTACTTACTTGATAACATATCTTGCGACCACCTCAGCCGATGTTGGACCCTTAAATCCAAAGGATCTGATATTGTTATTGGTCTGAAGTCCGTGATAGAGTCGATTATCGTCAGAGATGCATGAGTTTATGCACTCCTCTAGATCTGCTGGGTCCAAACGGTCTTGCTTTTACAATTTCACCACCGCTCAACCGCTGAGTTATTGTTCTGGCGTTACCGCAACCGACAATGCTAGCTCATCTAACAAGGCATTACAGATAACCTGGCCCATTCGGATCTTGTAGCCATTGATGCTGTACTTTCCACGAACATGATCAAGAATTTTGAAAGTGCCGTTGCCCCCCGGTTTGGTTGAGAAACTTGAATCCAATGGCGAACGACTACCGTTCGGAATTGTAGAGATGCTAAAAATATAGTAATTTTAGTGATAAAAACAATGTTTCGTTCCAATCAATAGAGGAATGCTTGGCAGTGATAGACAACACAATACATCTAATATAGGAAAGGCCTTGATTACCGGCCAAGGCAGATTTGTCAGAAAAGCATACAGACTACTAGGAATTGCTCGAGTAGAAAGAAAAATTCAAAGTATATGATTGCGCCATGTAGTGTAGGAATAATGATAAACCAGGATGATAATTAGCAGGATATTGAAGGAGTATAATCACAGTGCCCCGCGATTGACAGAAAACTTCGAACGCCGAACCCGCACAAAGATATATATTACAGAGAATTTGAGAAGTAGTACTTTTATTCATACCGTAAACTCCGTAGGTTTTTGACACTCGGCTTTTTCTGTCGGTCTCGAGAGTGTCAAACGGAAACAAGGCTACGCACAGACATAAGCAGGGTGTACCTACGACCAGACCAATGAAAGAATGACGAAATAGTCGAGGTCCGCTTATTGTTCTTCACCAACAGTCGTCCGAACGAGGTGACTGCCCCAGATAGCAGCCATTGTCTGAACGACTTCAGCTCCTTCTACGTCAAATTGCGAAGTTTGATCCGATGAAGATGCCCCTACGATTCAACGAATCATGGCTTCTCAAACAAGTCCTTGTGTCTGAATCCATATCAGCCTTTTAGCAAGCCAAGCCGGGACTATGGGGAATTATTCTACGAAAATCACCGAATCATATCAATGATTCTATGCCAATATTTGCATTGGACAGTCTGATAGTGTTATGTTCAGTATTATGATTGACCATACGAGCGAGTTGTCCGCGCCTCACCGACGAGTGCAAATGGGGTTGTATGGTGTCCGAAGTTCAAAATATATAACGTAGTATAACGTGCCAGATGAACATCAGATTGTTCTTCAATTGACTTCTTCACCATCATAATCGACTTCAATTCTATGCAAAGAGTTCATTCACAGCATCTGTAGAGTTCTGAATCTTGCATCTTTCGTCTTTCGTACATAATAATACTCACAACAGAGTTTCTTATATAAGTCTTCAAAAATGAATGGAACGTGTGCTGGTGAGCTCCAAATATCCCTTCCCTCCATCACCCGCAAGTCCTGATTTACTTAGCCCTTTATACCCCTAATACAAAGTGGAGCTTCTGTCCCAACATCAGTGCCGCCTACTTTTTTGCCGTACTATTCGCTCTCACCACTGTAGCTCACTTGGCCCAAGCTATCCTCCATAGAAAGGCATACTGTTGGGTCATTGTAGCATCAGCTCTAGCACAGACTCTCACGTATATATTCAGAGTTGCCAGTATAAATAGTCCTGCTAGTTTTGGAGATTATGCAGCTTGGTTTATTCTAATTCTGGTGAGTGACTCCCTTAATTAACATTGATCAACAAGACTAACCTAGGCGTCAAGATTGCACCACTTTTCACAAATGCCTTCACGTATATGGTGATGGGAAGGATGATCTGGAACTATGTCACAGATGCTACGATATGGAAAGTAATGGCATGGAGATTTGGACTCTACTTTGTGATTCTAGATATTGTGTATGTCTAGTCAAATCTCTAAAAGTTTCAATCCAGCGCTAACATAGAACTCAGAGCACTTATTATTCAGGTTTACGGAGCTGGAGCTGCATCCAGTGACACCGCAACCTCAAGCCAAATCTTAGATGGTGTGTGATCTCCGTAGGTTCCGTTTGCTTGAGCTAGCTAACATTGCTCTAGGCCTTCATGTCTATATGATTGGTGTTGGAATACAGCAATTCTTCATCTTCGTCTTCCTCTTCTTCGCCTTCAAGTTCCATCAGACACTTCGTGACCAGTCCCGTCGAAAGACCTATACTCCACGACAAGCATGGTCCCTACTCTATGCCTTATATGCAGTCATATTACTGATAACTGTAGGGCACACCCCTCTTCCCCAGCTTATCGAATATCTTTCTAACCCACCTCATAGATCAGAATCATTTTCCGTCTCGTTGAATACTCCCAAGGCCTTAAAAGTAGCATTCCCAACCACGAAGCCTTCCAGTACTCTCTCGACTCTGTTCCAATGCTTTTTGCTCTCGTTATTCTTAACATCTTTCACCCTGGCCGCATCATGGCGGATCCAGACTCAAGCATTCCAGGGAGGAAAGCGAGGAAGAGCGTCCCCTTTAGGACAAAGATGCAGAAAATTGGAAATAGTGATACTGACGACGTTCAGATGGTGTAATATTTACAAGTTATCATGAACAGCTTAATGTTTGGAGTTGGAAATAGATATTTTATGACTTGAGAAAGAGAATTGGCTTCGGCTTTAGGGCTGCGTTAGAGGTTGCGCTATAGAGATTCATAGGTTGAGTTGGAGTTATTATCATGATTGATCGATTGAAACAGGTCGTTGGAGTTACTGGTCTTCGTTTTCTACACGTTGCTGGAAGATTCCTCCAAGCCAAAGGTAGCTAGCTGCTCAAGAAGGGATGGGGGCTTACCCTTATTGAGTTGAAATATACTCATAAGATTGGATGAACTAGGATTGCGGATACATAATGTATTTTCATATCATGTTTGTCATTTTGATATTTCCATGATAGCTTGTCAACACAAGTTACTTCACGAGCGTAGTCTATTACTACCCACTTTTCAGAATCATCTAATAGAATATTTTAAATTTCTTGAAATTCATTATCGAGCAGTATTTTGGGGGGAAAGGGAGGTGGGATCCTCAACGGGCTACTGTTCGCCAAATTGCCACAGGGTGACAGTCAGTTAAAGGTATGAACTAATACAGTAATCATGTCCGTGACAGGCGGTAGATGCAAAAATTCTGCTCAATATTACAATCCTAATTGAAAATATCAAATGACGTCCCGGAACCCCTTTCCCGAGCATAAAAGTTGTCTGTCCTTCAGCAGGATAGAATATCGGGAGATTGAAAATGTACACTCTTTTCAATACTCGAAATCAAATCAATGAACCATTATTTTGAATCAAAAATGAAATTAATGAATTCATAAACTTCCAACCTGCCAAATTTATCTTGACACTCGGATTTCGATGAGAAGTGATACCATTATATAAGATGTTAAAATGTAAGTGTTTTCAGAGTATGACTTTATCTCAGCAATTTAAGCTACGCTGCCTTGCATGGGCCTCGTCAAAGTAACCGGCCAGTTTGCGGATTTTTCGGGTAACCTTGACCTTATCTTTGTGCTCAATTAACCGATGTCCCTGTATCTTGCACAACCCTATATCTTGCACAACCTCAAATTCACTACTACTACAACTTCAATATTTAATTATAATTATAATTTATAAGATATTCAATTGAAACTTTGAAATGTTAATGATATAGTATAATATTATTATATAGATTTATAAAATAATTAAATTTTAAATCTTATTGGTATTATGATTACTTATCTATTCTTAATCCTAGTTTCCATTTTTTCTCTTTTATTCTTTGAAATATCAATTTCTTTATTATCTAAGAGTTCTATAGTTTTTTGAAATATTAGATTTAATATAATAAAACATTTTGAGGTGCTTTTAGTTTGTTTAATAAATGAATTTGATATTCTATAAGCTTTCTTACTATACTCTTTAAATTCCTATAGAATTTGATAATCAATGTTAAAAGGAATAGAAGTTACCAGTGCTAAGCACGTGTAGTGATTAGTAATACGGTTACCTAAACGGGCTAGATTAAATGAACTATAGACAGGCATATTGATCCCTTTATATAATATTATAAGAGAATCAATATGTTTATATGCATAATAATATAATCAATACAGAGGTCTCTTCCACCTAATCTTTTAATAGGTTATAAGACCCGGTTAGTATGGCCTCTGGATATTATTAATGTAATCATTATCACGATTCAATTTATAAAGTTGAAGAATACGCGGTATTACTCTACGAGCAGCACGCAATGCTGTGATTACTATTACCACTAATTTACGGAGTTAAAAGAATATGTGATGCTATTTATAAATAAATATGTATATAATATAATAAAAAGTATATAATGCTAATTATATCTATATTTACAATTTATATAGATCTATTTATACAGAAAAAGGGGAAGAAAAATCTTGCAAATTCTCTGTATAAATATCAAAATAAACAAAACCAAAAAGCAAATAAAAAACATTCTAAATCTCACCTAAGAGATCTATAATTAATAGTTTTGATAAATAAAAATATAATTGAAAGAAAAGAATTAATTCTATATAATTAAGTTTATATTACAAGAGTATACTAAGATTAGAGAAGTTGGGATGGAAGTTGATAGTATTAAAGTTTTTCTAATCCTTAAAGAAAACAAAATTATGAATATTAGGTTCAATTTAGATAAAAAGACCAAATATTTAAAAGATAAAGCTAGTGTATTATTATATATATGTAGATCACTTAGTAACGATAATGAAGTGCTTATTGATGAGTACAATATAGTACGAATATTATAAAACTATCTGAAATCAAAGTATTTAAGAACTAATAATATCACAGCTAATTTATATTTAATAATAATCTAAACATTTATTTTCAAATCTATTAGCTATTTAGAGATAATTATTATTAAAGCCTGGAATAAATTGAAAGAATACTAATGTAAGCTTGATATTGTTAACTCTATATTCAAGGATTTGTATAAAAATAAAGCTCTATTTTTAGTTTTGATTAAAAGTTTTTTAAGTAAATATTAAACAATAATCAATATTATAAGTATTCAAAGCATATTAATAATAAAAAATAAGATTAAGTATTTCATTATTAAAAAGCTTAATATTTAAGAAATAAAATAAGTTTATACTATTAGTGAAAAGTATATAATTTCAAATTAACAAAAAGATAACAAAAAATCAAGTCTATTAATATAGCAAAATCGAGGGGAAATAGTCA